TTTAAAAATATATGAAAAATTTGAATTTATTTAGTGATCTTCTTATCTCGATTTAGTGATCCGATCTTAGCGTATAAGAAATATTATTATTCCTCATAAAAATGGTATTTTTTATAAAATTATTTATAAAAACTCCTTGAGAGAGATTATTGCCATAGTATCTTATAAGTGCATTCAGAAATTTCAGTACTCTTTGCAATAATTATTATACAAATTATTTAAAATTTTATCTAAAATTTGGAATCTATTGAATTCTTTTTTATAAGAAAATCTGTCTATGGAATCTTGAATCTTCACATTATAAGAAATACTATTATTTATCCTTTTTATAAAATGGATTTTATAAAAATTCTTGGAAAAGACTGTATGCCATAGTATATCTATGAAATGATTTAGAATTTTACCCCCAATTATTTAAAAATGCATGTACAATTTATGTTTTTGTCTTCGTTTAATTATCCATCCTTGTGAAACCCCACAAATTTATATAAATGATTATTATTCAGCGAAAAATACTGTTTGAATTTTTTCACTTTAGTAATCGCAAAAAGATCGAAAGCGAAAATTTTATGTATCTTCACGTTTCAAAGTTTTTGAACATTTGACATACCTTGGAAAAATGCATGTATGTGTGTTTTTGTGTGTTGTATGAGCGGATACAAATTTTCGTCGAGGATTTGGGGAACACCGATCAACCGATTTGAATGTGGAATTTGAAACGAGGTGTGACTAGTTTTTAGCGAAGGCAGGTCCTAACAGTTCCGAATATATGGGGCTAAAAGTGCCAAAAACAATAACTCAGTTTTTAAGAGAACGGGGCGTCCGATTTTAATAATTCAAAAAACATTTTACTTTTATTGACAAAATGAACAACTGATTAAATTTGGGAAGGCAGGTTTAGCGGTTTCGGAGATCTATAAAAAAAAGTTAAAAAAGGCATTTTAAGCTCAAAAATTATCGTTATCAGATATTTTATGGAGATTTTAATAATGTGTATCAATTTTGTTTTCATTTCAATGGGTTTCGTAACATCCGTGTGTCCGTTAGACGGCGACGCGGCGCTTACGCGCTTCGATATCGTCTCTATGCAGCTAAACAGTGCGATTGCAAAATTTTCAAAATATTTTAAAGTAAAAAAAAAACATTTTTTTCGGAAAGTTTTTTGCCAAAAAAGTAAAAAATTTCTCAAAAATCTAATTTTTTTTTTTAAAGTTAAAACATATTTAAACTTTTTTTAAAAATTTAATTTTTGGTACGGGAAGTTTTTTCTAGTTCCAGCAATTTGCCTTAAGACTCGATGCTATCACCACTAGTTATCCAAATTATTTGGAATTTAATGTAAAATTCTGGGATCTTTCGAACTGCATTAGGTGGATATTTTTTAACTCCCGTAGGGAGTTATAGTAATCGCAAAAAATCGAAAATGAAAATTTTTACATATCTTTACCTTTCAGAGGTTTCTGAAAATTTTGGCATACCTTAGAAAAAATTGATGTATGTGTGTGTGTGTGTGTGTGTGTATGTGCGTGTATGTGTGTGTGTGCGGATACAAATTTTCGTCGACGATTTCGGGAACACGGATGAAGCGATTTGAACAATTCAAAAAACATTTTACTTGTATTTACAAGATGAAGAATTGATCAAATTGTCATGAAGGCAGGTCTAGCGGTTTCGGAGATCTAACAAAAAAAGTAAAAAAAAATGCCATTTGGCGGTCAAAATTGAACATTAGACATAGGCACATCAAATTATCAGATATTTTTTATAGAGATTTTAATAAGTATAAATTTGGTTTACATTCCTATGGGTTCCGTACCAAGTTTACGCGTTAGGCGGCGACGCGGCGCTTACGCGCTTCGATCTTTCGTCTTATGCAGTTAAAGCAGTAACGATTGCTTTGAAAAACAGTTCAGAATTTCCAAAAATATTCAAAACAGATGATTTAAGATAGAATGATTTAATATGGTTCGAAATTTTATTAAAGTTTCAAATCATTGATCAACTTTTATTGATTATTTGATTATTTTAATTACTCGAATTTTGGATTGCGGTACGGGAAGTTCCAGCAATTTGCCTTAAGGCACGATGCCTTAAGCTAGTTGCTTGTTGTCTTTGTTTAATCGTTCGTCCTTGCGAAACTCCACAAATTGCATTTAAAGCCTATCCCTCGTGAATGTTCTTACAATTTACACCCATCCTGTCACGGCATGGCTTGACAAAACGCACACTCACGCGTCTCATCGTCAGGAAATGCTGTGTTGTTATGTTCGATCGTTTTCATTTGAGAGCGCGCGCCGCCTCTTGCAATATAACTAAATAACCAGTTATTCACTCAAATACGCGCTCAGTTGACAACGAAATTTACTAACATTCCTTCAACATTATACAAAATTTACTGAACGAATAGCATAGCTGAAGATAAAATACAAATACCCAAAATATTCCCAGAACCGAGTGTCGGTGATAAGGCCAGACCTAAATATACATGAAGTGCTATTGTAATATATTTTAACTAGTGTTGTTTTGTGCTGATAAGTGTACTGTAACAGGGCGAGGGTAAAAATTATTTCTAATATAGGTGCATGTGTGTGTAAGTGCAAGTTGGATGCATCAAATGCATCATTATTTGTTCCTAAACTCTCTTGATGCATAATGTGAGCAGAATGATTATTGATTTTTGAGAGCATGTTCAATTGTACAAGAAAGTGCCTGTCACAGAAACGCACCTTGACAATATCGGTGTTTCATTATAGAAAATAAATTTTATTATGAATATAAAATTATGAACAAAGTAAGACCTACAGTTTTGATTGCAAAGTAAATTATCACAAAAAAATGAGAAAATAATTCACAAATGGCTATATTCTTAGTGAATATTAGTTATAACTAAATTTATTTAATCAGTAATTATAAGTATTTAAATTCTATTAAAATAATTAATTTTACTCAAATATTTTATGTTAAAAAGCGTTAAAATTATTCAATTCAGTACCTCTACGAATAATTATTATCCAAATTAATTAAAAAAATTTATCTAAAATTGGAATCTATTAAATTTCTTTTTATAAGAAATCTATATATGAAACCTATTGAATCTTCACGTATAAGAAATACTATTATTTATTCCTTTTATAAAATGATTTTATTTATAAAAATTCTTGGAAAAGACTGTAATGCCTTAGTATATATCTATTAAGTGTATTTAGAAATTTTCTTTCTAACGAATCTTTCTTTCTACGAATTGGATAAATAACATTTATATCAAAACTATTATATTTTGGTGGCTTTATAAAATCTATTTCATTATTGTTTTATTATATTTCAAGCTAACATTTTTTATAATGGAACCACTTTTCGTAGGGTTTCAATATTTTGGAATATTAAAATTACATTAAAATTATCTAGTTAGAACTAATATTATATAGTAATATAAGTATTTAAATTCCATAAAATTTTATCTATTTTTATTTTTATTTATTATATTTTTATCTATATCTTGTAAAAGCTTTAAACACTATTTCTTCTATTATTATTGTTAATTAACCAGTACCTCTACGAATTGGATAAATCACATTTATATCAAAACTATTATATTTTGGTGGCTTTATGAAATCTATTTAATTATTACAACATTGTTATATTGAAAATTCATTATTATTATTATTATTCCATTATTCCAAACTAATATTTTTTTTATAATCGAACCAATTTTCGTGGGCTTTTAATATTTTGGGATATTCTCTTATCGTTAGTCCATTTCATCAAAAGTATAATAATAAAAAATACATTAAAACTATCTAGTTAGAACTTATTAGTTCTAACTATAATTACTATCTATAAATATTTTTAAGAGTAATTATTAGTATTTAAATTCAAAATAAAAAAAATACTTTATAATATTATATATAACTTTATATATAGTATATAACATTATTTTATCCATACCTGGTAAAAAGCTTTAAAATTATTTGTTAATTGGCTAAATAAGAATATTATCAAATCTTTTATATTTTGGTGGCTTTATAAGATTTCTCTAATTATTGTTATATTAAAATATGTGTTAAATATAAATTGAATTGCGCCAAAACTATTAGTTATATCCTATCTAATATTGAAAATTAACATAAAATTAAGAGTGGTTGACCCATTAATAACAGTATATGGGTTGACCACTGGGTAGCCCCCCTTCAAAACACTATATCAAAGTTAAGATGTGCATCTGAATAACATTTATTTATTTATTTATTTATTAGATAAAATAAAAATATCAATTGAGTTAAAATAACTAATTTTCTTAATTCTCCTAAATACGCACATAAATTTTGTGTAAAACTATTTTAAAAGTGTATCTAATATATACGATTTGCCGATAAAATAAAATAACTGTTTAATACCGTATTCATTCACAAAAATTCTGTGAATCGTTTTTACACTGCAACTAAATCCCATGTGCTTCATAGAAAGTTTCCAAGGTTTCTAAACCCTAACGGTTTTATACCTGAGATCAGTTAGTTGTACAATTTCACATATTTCGAATGAGAAAACTTTCTTTACTGGCATTGTTTCAATAATTTAAATCATGTAACCGTCAAAAAAAATAAAAAGAACGACGTCAATTTTTTTTATTTAAAATTAATATTATTTGGTTCTATGAGTGAAAAAAATAGTTTTTGTTATATTAAGTTTTTCATATTGATTGAAATAATGTGTAACTAATGGTAACTGAATTAAAGGTGAGCTCATAACAGATAAAACCAGCTTCGTTTTAATAAATATCTTATTTTTGATTATTATATTATTTGAGCATGACGTGTCCCATAGACAGATTCCACTATGCATGTAGCTTCATTATCAAGTAATTGTTGTTAATATTGTTTGTTCATTCTATCTATTGTTCTCTTATATAGACACACATATGTGGATACATATGCATATGTTATTCAATAACGCAATAAATAACGTTTGCTTAACAAATTGAAACGTGTTGAATAGTACTTCTTCTAATGTAAGTACTTCTAATTAATGATTACGGAATAGCTCTCCTTTCTGATTTTAAACATATTTAAATGCAGTAATTCATATTTCGTATTCTATTTTATATTTATACAGGAGTAAAGTAAGTTAGAATGGATTCTCAAAAAAATGAATTTTCAAATTTTCCATATTTCGATAGGTTATACCTTTAAAAATAACATACCATAATTTCAAATCGATATCTTAAATAGTTTTTGAGTAACAGCCATTTAAAGAGTATATATATGGTATATAGCATAACGATCATTTTATCTTCAAACGCGTTTTTCTCGAAACAGCATTTTCCGAATTTGCTGCAGTGATTACTCAAAAACAAATGATCCGATCACTATCGATTTTTTTTTTACATGTTCTATATATAGTTCTCCGTAAAATGAACTATCGATTTTTCGATCGGATCATAAATCGAATTTTGGCAGTCCAAAAACGACCAAAATTTTGGGTAAAATTAGACTTTTTTTTTTAAAAACGCCGCTATTTTGTCAATTTTTGCAGCAGTGAAGGACCTTCTTTTTTCGCGCCTTTGGAGATCGACGATAACTTAAAGAATATTTAATTTATTTCTTCAAAAATTTTACGCTTTTTTTAGGCTTCAAAAACATGCGTAAATATATTCTAAAAATTGATTGAAAGAAAATGATTGGTATTTTTTTTTTAATATAAATTCCCAAAAATCACCTTTTTTTAGGCGGTTACACTAGTTGCGCCCCTTAACTTCTTGAAATATTTAAATAAATATTCAATATAACATTACTTAAAATGATTCTCCCTAGTGATAGTTAAAGTTCATAACTTGCATTTGCAACGTATTATTAAATGTTTAAATTAAATCAAGTTATATTAGATAAGCAATTACTGATGACTCCTAGTTAATTTAGCTTTTACAAGCGTTTTAAAACGGAATTACATTCTTATTTTGTTATTCCGCTATTGAAACTTTAACCTCGTGGTGTCATTGGCCTATGAAAACCGTAGATACAAATTAATTATTCACATCTTGAATATTGATTAATAGTTTGCAACAGAAATAAAATTATATGGTTCGTGATTTTAGTCTTTCCTGTAAGCTCTTACCTGATTATTCTGTGTAATTTGTCGTCGCTTCAAAATTTTAATTCTTATTACGGATTATTAAAGTTGTAATTCAAACTGTACAGTTTTACATATATTAACCCTTTCCACTCGCGAATTCCAAGCTTTATGAAGTTGGCATTCGAGTGGAAAGGGTTATTAGCACATAAATATATCAATCATGAAGTTTCTAGTAACAAAAATCTGTAATCATATTTCTATTTAGATAATAAAATCTGGGTAAAATTTTTCAATAAGTTGTAAATTTCTTTGTCGTATTAGTGTCGACCATGTGTCGACTATAAAATAATGAATATCGATGATTAGTTTGCAGTAGAAGTAAGATTTGATGGTTTTTTTTTATACAAATCTGATTTTTGTACGCCGATTCTCGTTGCTTCAAAATTTTAATTTGTAGATACAAGTTAATTATTCACACCTTGAATATTGATTAATATATAGTTTGCAATAGAAGTAAAATTATATGGTTCGTGATTTTAGACTTTGTTGTATAACTCTTACCTAATTATTCTGTGTAAATTGCCGTTGCTTCAAAATTTTAATTTTTATAACGGATTATTAAAGTTGTAATTCAAACTTTACAGTTTTATTAGTTATAAAAGTAGAGGTTATATATCAATAGAACATAAATATATTGATCGTGAATTTTGTAGATACAATATCTGTAAGACTAGACTTAGATAATAACATCCGACTAAAATTTTGCTACAAGTCTTAATGTGACTAATTGTCGTATAAATATACTGAATATTAATTATTAGTTTGCAGTAGAAATAAAATTTGTACAATAATCTGATTATTGTACTCCAATTGCCACTACTTCAAAATTTTAATTTATATTCAATGCATTATTGTACTAATTCAATCTATATAGTTTCTAATTTAGCATTTAATAATTATCGTGCATTTTTCTTAAAACACAGCGTATAATTCAATACCAAATAAAATATACTTTGAATAATGAAGTTTTTACTAATAATAATCTATAATCATCAAACTAAATCTTTTCTACAAGTTGTCTTCTGTCGTATTAGTTTGGAAAACAGTGATACAAGTTCTAGATAATCAATCCTAATTAACTGTAGTTCTCATTATTGCTTAAGTAATAATTACCCCCAAGGTAGAAAAAAATTTAATGTAATTCAATTTAGTTATCATTTGGTAACTAGATAAGATAAGAAACACTCAAATTTTATTTGTGATATGAGTAAAATTGTTGGAAATTCATTCTTAATATATTACTTTTATCAAAACTTCATATTAGTCACAAATTTTAACTTATAACCATCGATGTGTAATATATTAATGGAGTTTCTTTTGATCCAATGAAAAGTTTATTCAGAAATGTATATCAACTAGGTGTTAGTTGCATTTTGCCATAAGCAAGTTGCATGAATTTTCCGACAATAATATAAATAATCGACATAATCAATAATAAATTAAAATGAGCAACTTTTTAAATTGTGCCCATTATTCCAAACTAATATTTTTTTATAATCGACCATTTTTCGTAGCCTCTAATATTTTAGGATATTCCCTTTCGTTTCATCAAAATAGTCAAAAAAATAATAACTACGAAGAAACGGTTCGGCTCATCTTTTCAGGAAGACTACACAGCACATTTTCCTGGTACCATTCGAATAATTTTTGAATTTCAATCGGTTCAAGGCTTTTGGCGAATACGTTGATAAAAATTTTTGACTTTCTGACAAATTTAAAGAAACGGTCCGGCAGATAGTCCGGCATAAAACTAATCAACACGAGTATTTATCAAATTTCATCAAAAGGCTTTTGGAATCGTCGACGAAAGCTCAAATTTTGGTTCAAATGAATACACTTTTCCTTCTGGAGATTAAAAATAATTTAAATACATATATGTATATACTTGCCTCGAACTCTTTAGAATAAATCCTAAATCGTACTTTTATCTCTCAGCATTTTAATGCTATTTACTTAGTTAATGCTCAATGTGATATTCAATTTCTTGTTTTCTCTTATCATTTTTTTATCAATTTTCTAAAGTTATTTAGTATTATTTTTGCATTTACTATCGACTTGCGAATGCTACAGAAGTAGCTTATAGAAAGTGAATGTTCTATGAAATTCTTATTGTGCGCAATGTGAGTACTGCTTTCTAAATGTGAAATGCATCATAGATTCGAACTTGAACTATGTACTATTTAATCGTTTAAACACTCAGATAGATGATAGAAAGTACAGATAAATTTGTATTCAATAAATTTTACAGCAAGTTAATTTGTTTAAAACATTATTACCAAAGAAAGAAAACTTCAACTATGTACTATTTAATTCTTTAAATAATCAGTTAGTTGTTAAAGTACAAAACAAAATTTGAATTAACTTTTAAATTTTACAGTACGTGAGTTTTTAAAAAATTAACCATAATATTTTTATATGAGCCTTTTAAAATTATTTTTGGCAGATTTTTGCATTAGATTTCTATATGATTAACATATATACTTTTGTTTTAGGCTTTATTAGAAAAAATGTCTAAAAAGAAGGGGTCATCACTTGCTTGGAAAATCACAAAGGTTTTCTTATTAGTATTTTTGATGGCAGGATTGGTTGTGGCTTATGATATTTCAACATATAAGTCCTTTGAAAGTAAGTATAAAAATTAAAATAACAAAAGCTGTACTTTTGTTTCTATGGATTTTTATTACTATGAAATTATACATTACAAATTAAATTAAATTATCAACTAAATTTTTTGCAATAAATGGATAGTTGTCAATTTTTATTTATTATTTCAGCTAGTATACATGGTCAAGTTTTAACGAAAACAGGTCTGTTACCAATAGCAGAAAAAGCTGGTGATCGATTTTTAGTTTACTCAGCAAGAGGCTACAAATGGGCTGAACGTAATCTTCCTGAATATTATAATCAGACAGCTGTTATTGCTCAACCTTATTTAAAACTAGCAAGTGATGCACTTATTAGTGGGCGTAATGTTGTGGTTGATCTCTATGGAAATGTTAATGATTACGTACGAGAGAAAACTCCCGTTGTAGTAAATGCTGTGAGTATATTAGAAGTATTATGAGTATTGAAGGTTGAGCTAAAAATTTAGGAAATGGTTTATATTTTTCTCCATTATATACTTATTTAAATTATAATGTGATTCAATTTATTGCTTGACTAAACCATATAATGCATTTGTCTTTGAATGTTACAATTATTTCAATACATATTTTTATTCCTATAGATTTTTTGGTTCTGATAGTTTTAGTTTATTTAGGATCATAGATAAAGAAGTTTAGGATCTAACTTCATCGATTTAAATCATAAATCGAAATTGATTTTATAATAAATTAGACAAAATTTTAGTTTCAGATGAAAATATTTATATTTTCAATGTTTGTTTTAATTTATTTAAAAATATTATTTATGGAAAGAGTTTTTTAATAAGAATTTGCAATTGCTCTATTTTTTTTTTATAAAGCTGATATATTTCTTATTTTGCTCAATAAATTTTCAATGTTCAGAGATCAAAATTTTTAAATATATATTAATTATTGAAAGATTGATTTTATTTTTTCTTTTAATCATAGATAAACGAGTATGCACCTGGTCTTCTGGACACAATTCAGAAACACTCCGTTAATACATGGTCAACAGTTAGTGGTTTCTGTGTGCAATACATTGATGTAGGCCGTGATTATTTGAAGACTAAAGTATTTGTGTAAGTAGAGTTTCATCATTTCATTTATACACATTAGTTACAAGATCTATATTTTAAATATAAAATAGAATTGCTATAAAATCAAATTATTATTTTCTGTAGTGGACAATTATCTCCTGAAAACTTGCACAAAGTTACATTGGAAGCATTTAATACAACACAACAATACGCATCACAGTATTATAGCTGGCTATATGAAAAAGTTGATGCATACTCAAAACTGAAATAATTTATTTCAAGTATTATTGTATTTCAAGTAAAATTTAATCATTGCATGTTAACTCATGCAATGAATTATGTTTATAATTTATTAATTATTGTGTAATTTGTTGTAAAGATTTTATAATACAATATGTAATGTACAAAGTAATCATTGTTTTATCTATATCGCACTTTCTAAGAATAACTTGTTGATTAAAATAAATGTTTATTTATTTCAGCGTATAAAATAATTACATAAAAGAAGGTGAAACATCACAGAATTGAATTCCTTAAATATGTCCATGTTAATTGGTGAGAAAATTTTGACTAATCAAATCAATAATTGATTTTTAAATTAACTCAAGAATTATATTTAAATATTTCTTAATTAGCAATTTCAAGTGCTTCTAAAGGAAACCATTTTGAACTTTCCAAGGCATCCCACAAATTTCTATCTCGTTCGATTATTTCTCTATTCATACCTTCAACATCTACAGTAACTTTATGATCTGAAATAAAAATAAAGTGAATTTAGAAAAATAAAATAAATAACAAAGGGAATAAAGAATATTTATGTAATGTTTATACCAATTAAAGCAAGTTCATCTTCAGCTGGGTCAGGTGGTGGAGCTTCTTGAACGTATGATGTTGGAACTGGTGTTTCAGTTGATGAATAAGTGCTCTCGGTAGTAGTTTGTGAGTCATAATAATTATTTTGCGAAGACCAAGCAGCTGAATAATTTTGCCAGTATGTAGAAGGATCATAATATTGTGTGTAATCTTGCTGTTAACAGAAACAAAATAATAGCATTATTACATTGGTCAAAGCAAAAATTTTACATTTTAAAAAGTGGAAATATAATGTTCAAAATAAAATGATGTAATATTCTTACAGCAGCAGTTGTAGTATATGTTGATGGGGTTGTAGTAGTAGTAGTTGTTGTTACAGTTCCTTTTGGTTTAGGAACTGCATTACAAATTTTCAAGGCTTTTGTTCCAAGACCAATATATCCATTCATTGCATACAG